AAGAAGGAGAATGCTACTACTACTACTACTAATAATACTACTACTAGCGATGATAATAATAATAATTCTAATAATAGTAATGATTATAATAATGATACTAATTTTAATATTAATAATAGATAATAGTAATAATAACATTAATACTAGTAATAATAACAACACATAGAAACACGAGTAATAAGACTAATACGAAGAATAATAAGAAGACTAAGGAACATTACGAATAAGAAGAACACTAATAATAATACTACTACTACTACTAATAATAATAATACTAATAATAATAATATTAATAATAATAATAATAATAATAGTATTAATAATACTAATAATAATAATATTTATAATAATAATAATAATAAGAATAATAATAATAAGGAAAATAAGAATAATAAGAATAACAATAAGCATATTAATACTAATAAGAAGAAGAGGAGGAGGAGGAGGAGGAGGAGGAGGAGGAGGAGGAGGAGGAAGAGGAGGAGAAGGGAGAGAAGGAGGACCCCACCTGGGGGAGAAGGGATCAAAGGGAAGGGGCTTTCCTTCGACTCGATGACGACGTTGCTAGATCTCTGCTTGGCAGGGACGCGAGCGGTGACGGCGACAGCGACGACAACGACTCAAACAGAACAGACACACACACACACACACACGCCGACAGGGCCTGCGGGCTTGTATAATTAAGGGATCTTGGCCGTCCAGACCAAACATGTGCGAGAGCACGATTCCCCAATCAATTGCAAGGTTAGGTCGGGCCAGTCCCTCTACAGGGAGAATCTTCAACAACAGTTAAAACATAGCCTGGAGACGATTTATGTTTTTTTTGGTTCCGTTTTTTTCCAAAGCTATTTTTCATGTTTCTTTCAACTTCCGCCTGTATGGGGGACATGCCCGACCTAATTGTAAGGAGGTCTCATGCGAAACGGCTGCCCGTTCCGTGCGGGCCCGGGCTCCTCGTCCCTCGAGTGGAACTCTTCCGTGGTCCCCTCTTGTGGGAGTTTGCTGTGGGCCAACCACGACGCCAACGAGGTGAGAGGACTCACAGCGGCGACAAGGACGACATGGCGGAACTCAATCGAGAGCGCCTTCGTCACGGTTGCCGTATGAAGATACGAACCGTCACATAAGGCGGGGGCGTCCGTCAAGGAATGTGCCCAGAAGGCTTCAGACCCTAGGGGTTTCCTTGTCTGACGAGGGCGGCGGTGATATTTGTGGCCAGATCCACGATTGGTGTTCCACTGTCTTCCCGACCCTGCGTCCCTTATCCGATGTTTTTTTGTCCGACGCCCTCACCGTACGGCAGGTTCGTGTCGTGCCGACCCCCAGGCGGCGCCTCCAGCGCCGCCCATTGCGCGCTCCTCGCGCCAGGGAGGTGGGTCCAGCGCAGATCCAAGAAATCCGCGCGGAGCGCCAACAGTTCATGTTTTTTTTTCTCTTTGTTTTCTAGCTGGGGCAATGCCGTGGATGGTGGCAGTTGGCGCATTCAGATACTGAGGCCCGCGTTGTGGAGGCATGATGAGGCACGTTGGCACTCCTCCACGCGGCCGTCTCCGTTGGCCGAGGGGCCGCAGGGAGGGCCTCGGCCACCTCCGCAGCTTGGTCGGCGCAACACTGAACGTGGTTGGGAATCCCTGCGGCCGTATGAGCGACGCGGAACCTGATCTTCGGATGCAGCTCCTGGGAGGTCAAATTCTGATTTTGCCCTGGTCCGAAGTCCGGCTTAATCCGGCTTAGTCCTGTTCAATCCGGTTGAATCCTGCATAATCCTGCTTAATCCAGCGTAACCCGCTTAATCCGAGGCCCACTCCGGCGTAACAGCCCCCCAATGGGGCTTAATCTTTCTGAATCTTTCCGACGAAGACCTCCCAGTAGTTGCCTCTTAACGTATCGGTGCCCGTGTTGAGTGGGCCCCGATGGCAGCGCATGACTTCACGGGGTCTGTCAGAACCGTGGCATGGACACCCCCGCGATTCCCAGTGAGCATGCGACTGCCATTGAACCTGCTGGAACCCTGGAATTCGCGAGCCGACCTAGTGCACGCTGGCCGCTACGGAGGACCACCTTCCTGATACTGGCCGCCGACGGAGAACAACATTCCTGAGAGGGATACCTGAAGAAGTGGGGCCAATCACAACCGTGTGCACTTGAAACGCGTACCCCATCTGAAAATTACAATTCCCTACAAGATTGGAGAAAGGGCTACAAAAGGATACTGTCGACGCACCGTCTCGGTGACATTTTCGGGAAACCATGGGGCCCGTAAGATTGGGACAGCTCTATCGCTCTCTCTCTCTCTCTCTTTCTCCCTTTCTCCCTATAGATCTATATTCACACGCTTGTATGTATATACGTATGTACATGTGTATATGTTAGCCAGCGTCGACCAAGACCAGCAAACTCTGTGGTGCTAATAATGTGGGCCAATCGACGTGGTACATTATATGTGGAGCAGTCTATATGGTGCAGTCCATACTGTGCAACCAATGGGATGCAATATATGTTGCGCAATTTACAACCTGCAAGGTATGCATTATATATGTATGTATGTATATATACATGTATATGTTGTGCAATATATGCGGTGCAAGCTACGTGGTGCAAACTGTGTGATGCAGTCAATGTGCGACATTGGTGCAATCTTCGTGGTGCAATCTAGTCGGTGCAATCTATGTGGTGCAAGATATGTAGTGCAATACAGGTTGTGCACTAAATGCTGTGCAATGCAGGTTGTGCAATTTATGCTGTGTAATATACGTGGCGCAGCCCATGTTGTGCAATCCAGGTTGTGCAATCTATGTGTTGTCCAACCTACGTTGTGCATCCTGTGTTGTGCAACACAGCACATGTGCAATCTATGTGGTGCAATCAATGCAATGCAGAAAGGTGTATCGCAATACACGTGGTACAACCGATGTTGTGTAACCTGTGTTGAGCAATCTATGTTGTGCAGTCTATGGTGTGCAGTCGTTGTGGGGCAAACATGTGTTGTGTAATACATGTGGTTGACCATCTGTTGTGCAATGTACGTTGTGCAATATCTGGTGCAACCTGTGCTGTGCAACGTATGTCGTGTAACCTGTGTTGAACAATGCAAGTGGTGCCATATATGTGGTGGAGCAGTGTGTACATCCATACATCTATATAAGCACAAATATGGTACACACTATTGGTGCAATCTATGTTGTAAAATCTATGTGGTGCAATCTATCGAAGACGCCTACTGCGAATCACCGCCGCCCCCTGCCTTTCTGGAAACGCCTATGTGGGCGAAAGTTGGGCTATACCAAGCTGTCGGACCATGTGTTCCCCGAGTCGGTCTGGAAAGCCTTCGGGGAACGCGTGCGGAGAGAAAGAGGAAATGGAGGAGAGGGAGGAACAAGGAAGAGGAAGAGGAGGCCTTTTGGAAGCCTCTTGGGCCCCTGTTGGGGCCTCTTGGTAGGAGCTTCTGGGGGGCCTCTTGGAGGCCTCTTTCAAGCCTCCTTGGGCGTCTTGAGCGCCTTTGGGAGCTTCTTGAAGGCCTTCTCTGGCGTTCTTGGCCCGTCTGACGCCGTCGGAAGCCGTCTTGGGGGCCTCTCTGAACCGACTTGGGGCCGTCTTGGGGCGCTTCAGGGCCGTCTTGGAGGCCATCTGTGGAGTCTTGGAGGCCTCTTGGGCCGTCACACTGCGCGGTGAATCCGTGGGCATTCGGGATCCCCGCGAAGTTTGAGGACTCGGGGAATTTTCCGAGGGTGTCTTGGACAACTGTCCTCCAGGGTCCCAGAACGGTGTGGTGGCGGACCGCTCGGTGAGGTCGTTGGGAATTCCGAGGTCACCAGGCGGTCCTTCACCACACGGTCTCGGGGGCCCTGAGCCTGTCCGACCCTTTCCTTGGGAGCGTTGTTATCATCCCGAGGTCCCGGGGCCCAGCGAGAGCCCCCGGAGGTCGAAGACGGCTCAAAAAGGCCGAAGGCGGCCAAACACGTCCCACGACGCGGAGGAGGATGAGGAGGAGAAGGAAGAGGAGGAGGATGAGGAGGAGGTGGAGGAATCATCATAATCATAATAATAAGTGGGATGCACATAATACGACGATGACTTCTATTATCACTATTGTTCCCCAACTTTGAGGAAGACTACGAATAGTACGACACATTATATTCATACGTACGATATCAATCACACTTAGAACGCACTAACATACTAATACGACTAAACATACTCATCGTACGATCACCAGCAATACTACGAGCACCATGAATACTACTATGAATACACATGCCAATAATACTGTTACTACTCATCATATTATTACATTTTAGTAATACTAATGAATAGTGCTGGTAGTATTAAGAACCAGAAGAGGATGATGACGCTGATGCTGCTGATGTTGCTGCTGATGTTGCTGCTGCTGCCGCTGCTGATGACGACGACGATGATGATGATGATGCTGATGATGATGCTGATGATGATGATGATGATGATGATGCTGATGATGATGATGATTTGATTTGGATGATGATGATGATGATGGTGATGATGATGATGATGATGATGATGATGATGATGATGATGATGCTGATGATGATGATGATGATGATGATGATGATGATGATGATGATGATGATGATGATGATGATGATGATGATGATGATGATGATGATGAGGAAGAGGAAGAGGAAGAGGAAGAGGAGAGGAGAGGAGGAGGAGGAGGAGGAGGAGGAGGGAGACGAGGAGGAGGACGAGGACGAGGACGAGGAGGAGGAGGACGAGGGGAGGAGAAGGAGGAGGAGGAGGAGGAGGAGGAGGAGGAGGAGGGGAGGAGGAGGAGGATGAGGAAGGAGGAGGAGGAGGAGGAGGAGGAGGAGGAGGAGGGAGGAACCCGTCTCGGGGGGCCTGAGGCGGAGAGGAACGCGGCGGCCGCCTGGCGGGCAGGCGGCGCGGCGGTCGCGGCGGCTCTGCTGGCCGGCCGCGGGCCGCGGGTCGCGGCGGCACCTCCGCGCGCCCGCGCGCGGCGCTGCGCGCGCGCGCGCCGCCCGCGCGGCCGCGCGTGGCGGCGGAGGTGAGCGCCTCGTGGAGTTCGCCGTGGAGCGCGAGCTGTCGGAGGATCGACCAGCAAAGTGCTCGCTGCACCCCGCTGTTGCGGATACAGTAGGGGCTCGCCCACAAGAATGTTATCACAAGAAACCTAACCCTGAGACCCAGAACGTCCATTGATCTTTGGTGTGGGAACGTCACGCATCCCGAAGCAAAACCGTCGAAACCCAAGAAACCCAGGGCACCCTGGAGGCAAGCAGGGTGTTTCTTGGCATGGGTCTCCACTGTACAAGAGTGAGGGGGGGGGCGGGCGCGGTGCGTCTCGGGATGGGTCGCGGGGTGGGTCGCGGGTGGGTCGTTGGGTGTTTGTCGGACGACGACGACCGACGACGACAACGACCGACGACCGACCGACGACCGACGACCGACGACCGACGACCGACGACCGACGACCGACGACCGACGACCGACGACCAACGACCGACGACCGACCGACGACCGACGACCGACGACCGACGACCGACGACCGACGACCGACGACCGACGACCGACGACCAACGACCGACGACCGACCGACGACCGACGACCGACGACCGACGACCGACGACCGTCGACCGACGACGACGACGACGCCTGCGCCTTCAGACGGCACCGCCCCGTCGATCCAGCCGTCGCACGGCGGGCACCTCGCCCGCGTTGTTCGCACGTTGGCGCCAAGGACTCCTCTCAGGCCGCCCTGCCTCGCAGGTCGGCCCCTCCTCGCCTCCTCCTCTTCGTCCTCCTCCTCCTACCCTTCCTCCTCCTCCTTCTCCTCTTCTTCCTCCTCCTCCTCCTTTTCTCCTCGTCCTCCTCCTCTTCATCCTCCTCCTCCTCGCCTCACGCCCACCCCCCAGCGCGGGCCTGGCCTTCCTCGTCCTCCTCGCTTGAGTTTCCCTCATGACTCAGGAGAAGAAATAGAGCCTTTGACCCTGACAACACGATGAAGACGTGCCCTTACCTGTCCTCACCGAGGTCGCCGTCTTCGCATTCGGGATCATACTTCCGGGCGGTTTGGTTCGATACATCTGCAGGAAAGACCCCCATCCCTCATGTTTTTCGACCTAACGTAGGCCCCCCCGCAAAGGTTTAAGGGGTCCTTTTTTGGTTAATCACCTCAGCTCCAGCCTGATCTTCGCCGTCCTCCCCCGGGGCGTCCTGGCCCCTCCGCGGGCAGGCCCCCGCCTCCTCGGCACGGTCCGCCGCTCGCTCCGCCTCCGGCCTGGCCGCCGCCCCCAGCTCGAGCAGTCCTCGCCTGCCGACGCCGCACGCACCTACACGTGTCCGCTGCTCACTGGTCAGGCCCCTCCTGGACTCCGTAGCTGTGTATACGCCCTGCTGACCAAGCCAGGAGGGCGTGGCGTATACGCTGCCGCTGGGTTCAGGATGGGCCTGGCCAGGGAGCAGTGGACACGTATAGACTTACATTGGCCCAATGACAATTCCTCGAATTTTCGTCACGTCGCTCGCTGGCGGAAGCCGACGGAAGTAAATCTTGGCGGAAGACGGCGGAAGGCCGTTGGAAGGCTTGCGGAAGACAGCGGAAGTAAATGACGCCCTGTCCGACCCCCCCCACTCCCCGTAGATGCTTAGCAATGTAGTCTTCTGCCGTGGGTCAGGCGGGATCCCGCCGAATTTACTCCTCTTTAGTAATACCATTTTAGTTTGGCCAGACCAAAATCCCACCCATACAAAATAAGATAAACAAGTATCCCGGGTCGTCCACGGATCCCGCCATGCTGGGATCGCTTCGACGTAAGATGGGCTCCGAAGTTGCGGCGTTCTTGGCATGTCAGGGTCGTCTTGGGATCATCTTGATAGCATATCTTGGTCATGCTTGGATCGCGCAGCCGTCGGGTGTTCATTCTGGGGCCACCCTGGGCGCGCGTGGATCCATCTTGTTGCCATCGGGTTATCTCGGAGTCACTCGTGGCTCACGTGTTCGGTCATCTTCGAGTCGGCCTGGGACGGTCCAGAACCCATGGTGGGATCGTGTTGGGGTGGCATCATCCCAGGGGGTCGTCTGGATGTTGCCATCTGTGGCCTCAGGCCTTCTTGGAACCATTTTGTGGTCATGGGGACGTCTTGGGATCTCGCGCGCGCGAGCGCTGAGCACGCGCGCGCGACAACTCATGTCGCCGATGGGCGTACACATATACTTTTTCTTGCGCGTTTCCAAGGAAACTTTTGCTGGAGCCGAGTAAGTCGGCCTGTCCCTCTACAGGAGGAATATTCGAAAACAACAAAACAATATTCGGGGGACGTTTTTTTGGAATGTTTTCTAGCCAGTTTGAGTATTTTTGGGGGTATTTTTGATTTTTCGTCCATGATCTCCCTGTAGGAGGACACGCCCGACCTAAGTATATATTCCGTCGCCCTAGGCCGTACCCCTCTGGCGGCCTCCGCGTCTCCGCGTCCTCGGTGCCCGGCACCCTTCGGCTCCTGCTTGGGCAAGCTCCGCCTTTGGGCCTCCGTTGACCACGTTCAGGAACTCGCACCTCGTCGCTCCTCGATCGGGCATCGGATGTCGCCCAAGTTGGAGCCTCCTCAGCTGCTCCCTTGGGCCCTCCGCGCCCCTCCACTGCTGGAAGATCATGCCTTTCCTCGCCCTCTGCGTTTATATTCTGCCAGCCATGCAGCACGCCCCGCACCTACTGCACGCCAGGACCGTTTCCTCCGCGTCGCTCACTCCGTACTCGCATAGGTGGTGGCCCAGCCACCCCACGAACTCCTCAAACTTCTCGCTTCTTTGCTCCTCCACGCTCTGCGCCTCCTCGCCTGCGCTCTCCTTCGCTCTCTCCTCCTCTTTCATCGCCTCCTCGCAGTCCTTGTGGAGCTCTTCGGGCATGGCCTCAAGCTCGCTCATCACCTCGTTCGGTAGCCCGTCGGTGTCCCGCTCCTGGTCTTGCCACCACAACGACGACTGCCTGATCTATCGCGCCGTCATCTTCGCCAGGTGGTGAGCTCGTGCAGCCGCCAGCCTCCTCTGTGGCTTGACCCTCCATGCGTGTGCACCCTCCTTCGCATCTGGGTCCGCCTCCTCGTTGCTCTCGCGCGTCCATCGCTCCGTTTCCGTGGCGCAGTCCGCTCTTGTCCTGTCGGCGCCACCACCTGTTCCGGAGGTGTCTCCTCGCAGCTCCCCTGGCCAGCGCCCTGCCCACGTCCACCGCCTGGCTGTCGACTTTGCGCAGTCGCTGGGCACTTTCAGCGGCGCCTGCGAGCACCCCGCTAGGAAACGACGACGACGACAATCCTTTTGTTGATATTGCTCGCATGCCCAAATGCATCTCCCAAATCCTCGATACCTCGCCCTCTTGGTCTTTGATCGTGCCTCCTTCGGAGGTCTTCGACCTCGTCTTGGCCTTCCCTGCCGCCTGTAACTAGCGCAGACCCTAACTTTGGAAGAACAGACACGATGGCAAAGGGAGAGAGAAAAAAGGAGAGTGAGACAGAGAGCGAGGAGGGAGGGAGTTGGGGAAGGGGGGAGGGGGTGGGAGGAAGAGGGAAGCAGAGATGGAGGACGAGTGGGAGTAGCCAGATGACTTAGCACGATTGGCAAGGCAGTTTCAGGCGAGAACGCTTTTCCTGAGTTGATTTTGAGGGATTCCCGAGCGAGAGCGCGACTCCAGAGCGCCGAGAGAGCGATTCGTAAACAAAATGTAAGGACGTCTTCAGCGAGAGCGCGATACCTTGATAAAATCACGGAAGTCCCGAGCAGGAGCGCGGAGCGCGATTATTGAACAAGTTGTAAGGAAGTGTCGGGCGGGAGACGTTACTATATTTCGGGGCCAACAACACACTCTGACGCACAATATTTTCTTCTTGTGCAAAAATGGTGCGAGCCCTGGGACGGGCACTTCAAGAAACACCATGTGCGCCCGTGGGGATCCATAATATTTGTTCCTCAGAAGTGAGGCTTCAAGAACAAACGCAAGAGACACCAAGCATCAATCAACCACGTTTTTGTTTAACCTCTGGCGTGTAACGGTCGTAACCCGGACCAAAGCCCCCCCCGGGCAACGGTAACGATCGTACGTAGGTTGGGGGGGGGCATGGGCTCCCCCTACATGCTGGTGTTCGCGCGCGTCTTATAGCGATCGCAGCGCACCCCTCCCCGACGTGCCGCACCCCTCCCAAGCGTCACCTGTACTCGGGGCCACAGGCCCTCCCCCCCCCCGGGGTAACGACCGTTACCATAATCCGGGCCACAGAGTCCCACTTCACCCACGCACCTGAGGATGGTGTGAGACCGTTCAGCCCCCTTGTTCTGACCAGTATCGGATTTCAGAGATCCGCCCGGATTTCTTGTATCCGCGGTGGACGCGGCGCTTCTGGCGCCCCCTCCTGGAATCCCCGCGCATCCGCCAACATGTATATATATATATATATATATATATATAGTGGTATTCGTGCTTTGGTTGATATTTCTTGGGGGGTCTCTCGGGAGCCTGTTCGAGGCAGTTTTGGGGCGTCTTCGGTCTTATCGGGCCTCTTGGAGCCTTTTTGAAGACTTTTTGGGGGCTCCTCGGATTTCTTGGTGGGCTCTTGAGGTCCTGCTTGCGGTCTCGGGGTTCATCTTGGGGCGGAGGGCTCGACATGTCGGTTCGTGTTCTCCCTGTCGGGCTCGCCTTGGGCCGCCCTGAGGGCCTTTTTTGGCCGTCCTGGGGCCCTCTTGGCGGCCGTCTTGGGGCGATCTTGGTGTCCTGGGGTCGTCTTTGGACCCTCTTGGCGGCCTCTTGGGCAGGCTTGAGGCGTTCTTGGGATCTCTTGGGCCGTCTCGGAGCATCGGAAGCCCGAACATGCGAGAACGATACCATGCTTCGAGCACTTACGGGAAAACAGTGGTGTTTGCGTCTGTGGGGGGCTCTTGGAACCCTCCTGGGGCGTGTTTGGGGCATCTTGGGCCGTCTTGAGGCAATCTTCGGCGTTTCGGAGCGCTCTGGGGCCGTCTTGGGGGCCACTTGAACTCTTTTTCAGCTCTCCTCCTCCTCCTCCTCCTCCTTCTTGTTGGAAAGTCAGGGGACCAGGCCCCGAGAGCGCCCAAGAACGCCCAGAATGCTGGGCTGTGTGTCCCATGAGGGATATTCACATTACCCACTACACATGGTTCGAAGATATCTGAGGACGCTCCACTCCGCGTTCCAAGGGGCTCTGGCGGATGTGTGTGTGTGTGTGTTACACATGTGTATATATACATATATACACATCTGTGCATACAAACGTATCTATACATGTATAGTTGTACATCTGGATACATCTCTATGCGTGTATATTTGTATAAACATGCAGAAGTGTATCTGTGTAGGTTTATACATATGTGTTACTCTTCAGGAGCTCCCGAGGGCCACGGAGACCTTGGTCGAGCAGGTGCCTCAGGGGTCGGGAGGGAGAGAGAGCATCAATGGCACGCTGCCGTTGGTAGCACGTCAGCGTGTTAATCCTCCGTGTTTGTCCGAAGGCCTGGTGTTTATTCAACAGGAACACGCTGATGGGTTTCCCATGGCGGCGTGTCTTGATCACTGAACGGGCGGCCCACCATGCTCAGGGCAGACGTGCTCTGGCGAGGGCTCGCCTTGGGGCGCACCTTGGGGCACCCAGAGGCCAGGCTAGGGTGCGCTGTGCGGCCGTAGCCTTGCCCCCTGCGACGCCCCACTGGGGGCCCAGCCACTCCGCATCATGCGGAGGAGTGTCTCCGTGATCTCCAGAGATGTCCGTGATCATCAGGACGAGTATTTCTCCGCGATCTCCAGGGACGCCATGATCTCTGTGATCTCAGGGACCGCCCAGGGGCCGCCTCGAAGGATCCCGGCCCGCCGGCCAGGCCCCGGCCCGCGGGCGGGCGGGCTCGTCTCTGGTGGGTTCTGGTAGAGGGGGGCTTATCCCGAGGTGGTGTCAGGTAACATACCCAGCTGGACATCCACGTTCCTTCTCACGCGGGCCTTGAGCGATTTTTGCCTCCAGCCCCACCTCTGCCACTGTCCGCCCCACCTTGACATTCCCCCGACTCTGGAGATCCACGGCCTGTCCTGGCCCTGGGCCGGGGATGTGGGCTTCCAGCTTCCGCTTCAGTTAGGGCGTTCGAGGGCCTTGCATCATGGCCTCGCATCCTCTTGATCTGGTCGCACCTTGCGCCGTGTTTGTGGGTCCAAATCAGAAGCGGCATGAAGGCATAAACACGCACATTTGCGAGGGGGCGCGAATTTGCCAGATCGGCGCTGGACCCCCACACCTGGTGCGCGCAGCGTGCCAGGGGCGGCGCCGGAGGCGCCGCCAGGAGGCCCAGTGCCGATCAAAGACATCCGCGCGGGCCTCCGGGCGTTTAAGTTTCTGCCGCGTTGAGGGGACGATTGGCACCTCCCCAAGGTGCTGAGGGCCGAGGGCGAGTCCGTGCTGCTGGGCGGCGTCGGGCGGGTAGAGTCCGTGCCTGGCAGCTCGGGCCTGCGGCACTGCTTCTTCCCGCAAATGCAAGTGGGGCCCTACAGGATCCAGGTCCGCCTCACTTGCGTCTTCAGCGAGGCGGAGCGCAAGAGGCATCTGTGCAGCACCACCGTGTCTGGCCATGGCCATCGTGGGCCCAGGATGGTGTATAGACTTTCCTGGCCTCGGCTAGGAGGGCGTGCATGTATGTATAAGTTTATGTATACATGCGTGTCGGTCCACATACTTATTGTAATACATACATACATACGTACATACATACATGCATGCAGCAATCGATGCAAACATACATTCATGCATGCACACATACATACATTCGTACATACACACATACACCCACACATACATGCACACATACATACATGCATGCATGCATGCATGCATACATGCATACATGAGCACATACATAACTATATACATACATACACAATCACGTACGTACGTATGTACGTACATACACATATCCATACACACCTATATATACACATACGTGCCTGCATGCATACACACAGCCAGACAGACAGTCAGACAGACTGGCAGACATACCGACAGACAGACACGTCCATACATACATTCAACCAAATACACGGGCATGCATGCATGCATCCCTACCTACCTACCTGCCTACTTACCTACATATACACATACCTACCACCACACACATAAACACACACACACGATAGTACAAACGTACGTGCGTACATACATCCATCCATCCATCCATCCATACATTAATACATACGCCACACATACACACGCACATACATACCTGCATGCACACATACACACAACCATACATGCATACACGCATACGCATATACACACTCGTACATACACACATACATACGTACACACATAAATGCACATATTCATACTGCACGTATGCATACATTAATACACGCATGCATGCATGCATGCATGCTTACATGCATGCACGCATACACGCGTACTCGCGCTCATACATGCATACATGCATACGTGCGTGCATGCATGCATCCATTCATATATAATACATGCACACATCCATCCATGATAGTTATTTTGTATTTTTCTACGCAACGAGTGCTTCTGTATGCACATGTACATGTGTACACATATATGTATATATAGTTTATTGTTTGCAAACATGCTTGCATATAGGCATGCATATATGTAGGTATGTATGTATTTATGCATCCAAACATGCATGCATGCATGTATGTATATATGTATACATGTGCGTGCGTATCTGATGGACGTCGGCCCATGGCGCCACCGTGCCTCGGTTGTGAGTCTGAGGCCTCTTGGATGTTCAATGGGATCTCGTCGGGGCCTCTCCGGGGCCTCGGAGGCAGTTCTGAGGCCTTTGAGGGGCAGTTGTGGGGCTTCCTTGGACGTCTTTTGGGCCTCTTGGAGGCCTCTTGGGGCCTTGTGTGGGCCTCTTGGGGCCTCTTGGGGGCCTCCTGGGGCCTTCTAGGTACCTCATGGGGCGGAAAGCTCGGATTTTGGGTTTGTATTGGGGCCCTCTTGGGCCGTCTTGGGCGCCTCCGGGGGCGTCTTGGGGCCGTCTTGGGGGCCTTTGAGCCGTCTTGGAGCGTCGGAAGCTCGAAAAGTGGAGAACCCCCAAAGCATTGAAACACCAAAGGGACATCAAGGATACTGGCTCTTCGGGGCCCTCTACTTCTTGGGAATGCTCTTGGAGGCCTCTTGGTGCGTCCTGGACCGATCGTGTAGCGGTTCGAGGAGCCCTTGGACCGTCTTGGCGGCCTCTTTGGGGTCTTTTGGCCCCAAACAATCATGCGACAAGATGCGGGTGAGCCCCGGGGGCACGCGCCAAGCCCCAAGAGACGTGTGAATGTTGGGTGCGGGCCCCTAACACATTCTCAGGACGGAGGCCTGAGGCTTAAGGAATTAGTCAAGAACCTGAGGTCACTGCAACTCGTGCCTCAAGGTTACGGTGGCGGATGCATGTCTGTGTGTATGTATGTATGGATGTATGTATGTAAGTATGTATGCATGCATGCATGCATGTATGTATGTATGTATGCATGTATGTATGTAGGTGTGTATGTATGTGTGTATGTATGTGTGTATGTATGCATGTATGTATGTATGTATACATGTATGCCTGCATGTATGTAGGTAGGTAGGCATGCATGCATGCATGTATGCATGTATGTATGCACGTCTGTATGTATGTATGTATGTATGTATGTATATATGCATGCATGCATGCATGTATGTATGTATGTATGTATGTATGTATGTATGTATGTATGTATGTATGTATGTATGTAATGTATGTATGTGTGTATGCATGTATGCATGCATGCATGCATGCATGCATGTATGTATGTATGTATGTGTGTGTATGTATGTATGTATGTATGTATGTATGTATGTATGTATGTATACATGTGTGTATGTATGTATGTATGTATGTATGTATGTATGTATGTATGTACTGTATGTATGTATGTATGTATGTATGTATGTATGTATGTATGTATGTATGTATGTATGTATGTATGTATGTATGTATGTATGTATATATGTATATATGTAGATATGTAGATCTGTACGTATGTATGTATGCATGCTTGCGTGTCTGTACGTATGTATGTGTGCATGCATGTGCGTATCATATGTTGTCTTCACAATTATGGTTGTACATCTATATGATTGTCTGTCTGCCTGCCTGCCTGTCTGTCTGCCTGTCTGTCTGTCTGTCTGTCTGTCTGTCTGTCTGTCTGTTTAAAGATCAGCATATGTGCATGAATCTATGTACGCATTCACACATGCATTATGTGTATATGTGTGTGTATATATAATTCCCCATGCCAGGGACTGGGATGGCCGTTGCCAGGCACGGTGGTGGTGCATGACCTCCTTCTGCGCGAGGCGAAGCGCGGGCGCGTCGGCGTTCAGGTGCTGGAGCTCAACCCCGGCGTGGTGAACCCCGTGACGGGGGACGTCGAGTTCCAGGAGGCCAGGATCCGTTCTGACCCGAGTCGATCCGACTCGATCCGATTTCCGAAACGATCGGCCTTGCCCCAACATGCTAATGCTGCGTGTGCGTCGCCCCCCAGGGGCGACGCTCGCGCCCCCAGAACTTCTACCAGTGTAAGCCCGCGGCGGGCGCTTTCTGACAGTGCTTCTCGGGAGACGATCTTCTACAGGATGGTCGTACTACATGTTCGGGTCGGGCGCGCGCGCGCGCCGTTCCTACGATGACCGATCCCGGGAGGTGATCGCTTTTTATTTGTTGTTTTGCCGATCGACGCGGGCCCTCGCTTTCCCCCCTCCCCCCCATGAAGTAGATCTTGGCTGCTTCTCGGCGCTTGTTTCGAGCAGGTGGGGCCTCCACAACAGGACGCACTGCTGCCAACAGTCGCACTAAGCAGAGGTCCAGAGCCATACCCCCCCCCTCTTCCCCCTCCTCTCCGCCCAATGTCGGAACGCCGAATAAAACAACGCTCACATGATGACCGATCCCGGGAGGACCCCCGCGGCCTGCTGGACGCCCCCTCCGAGGTGGAGATCGCGTGGCGCGACGCGCCCGCGGGGCGCGGGCTGCGGGTGGCGCAGAGGGCCAGGCAGCTTTTCAGGCTGAGGGTGCCCTGGTGGTTCCCCGTCGAGGAGCGGCGCAGCCCAACAACTCGAGGTCTCCCCAGGAGGGGTCCGAGTAGACTCGAGTCGGGCGTGTCCCTCTACGGGAGGAACATTCAAAACTAGTCAATCATAGTCTGGAGACGATTTGTTTGTCATTTGTCTGCGTATTTTTTGAGTATTTGTTTGGTATGTTTGATTTTTTCTTTCGTCCAAAAACCGCCTGTAGGGGGACATGCCCGACCCAAGAGTAAACTTGGCACTGTCGGACTTGTGCACTTTGTTCGGCCAGGGCCATCGAGGAGCACCCTGGATCATCGAGCAAACAAGGCACGCGCGACACCGAACAGTGCACGGGGAACGGACATCCGAGCGATGGCGAGTCGAGGATCGGCATCACCGGAAGTCGAGGCCTCCTCAGAGGGGTCCGAGCAGATGGGTTCGGTAGCAAACCAGGGGAGCCTCGTGGCCCCTCGCAACTCCGTTTTCAGGATGCATTCGCGTGCGCGCCAGCTTCTGGTAATCGATGGGGGCGCCCAGATTTAGCGTCGAGCAGCATCACTTTCGCCTCGGTTAGCGTCGATCAGCGTCAAGTAGCGTCGGTCAGCGTCAATTCGCAGGGCCAGCAATATTGGCATGGAAGGCTTCCATGATTTGCCATCGAAGATGGGGTCGGAGGACAGCGCCGCATCGCCGATGCGTCGCCGATGCGGCTCGATGTGGAGCCTAACTTGCTCCGCGCCGACGGCGCCAATGCATCGCCGACGCCGCCGATGCGTCGCCGATGTATTGGCGAGGCATCGACGATGCGGTGCAATCCTCCGAGCCCATCTGCTCGGACCCCGTTCGAGAGGCCTCTACAGTGGGGGCCCATGCCAAGAGACACCTTGCTTGCCTCCAGGGTACCCTGGGTTTCTGGGGTTTCGGTGGTCTAGCTGAGGAAAGCGTGACGTTCTCACTCCAAAAATCAATGGACGTCCTGGGGTCTCAGGGTTGGGTTTCCTGTGGAAGGCTTCTTGTGGTCGGGTTCCTACTGTATTCTTCCAGGTGTGCGTCGTCCCTATATATATATATATATATATATATATATATGTATGCATGCATGTATGTATGTTTGTGCGTGCATGTATGTATGTATATATATCTATCACCCGTGCGGAAAGTGCGTGACTGCGCTGGTGCTCTGAGCGGAGACCCCACGCCCACGAGCGAAACCACGGTCTTCGACACTTGGTCGTGTTATGCCGGTCCTTAGTTATGTTAAGGAGGCGACGCGCGCTTAAAGCTCTTATACACATATATCTATATATATGTATATAGATCGTGTGTGTGTGTGCCCGGTGGCGGGCGCTTTGTGGCCGTCTTGCCTGGGCAGCGACCTATTATGCCATGCTCGTGCTTTGTGTCCGGCTTGGTCGTGCGCCTCGAACGGAGTCGCATGCACGGGGGGGGTTCTAATTCTGACCATGCTTCAATCGGGGAAACTTAGGCCAGAACTCGGATTTGCGGACACTTTCTGACGAGCGCGTCCTGGATTTTGATGGTCCAGTTTTCGTGGGATGTCTGCAGCGGGGGCCCGCGTCAAATTTCAGATTCGCGTCATATTTATGATGGCCCTGGGCCAACCCGATCCCCCCTAACCCGAGTCTTACGTCTCCCCGGTTAAAGCGGTGTGATAATTATTTCGTCCCCTAAGAAATAGTCCCGGAAGTCACTCCAACTTGGACCCGCTCTCAGCGCAATCACTCTGCACGGGTCACTTGAGATTGCCAGTGTCATCTTCGTCACCGTTGTTGTCATGCCGATGTCGAGACTCCGTTGTTTTCGTTCTCGCTTTGACGTAGTGTGGCCCTGGGAATCCCTATCCAACGTTGTCGCTCTTGCTTCGCTGGCTGGCCATCCCAAAGAGTTCACGAAGGCTCGCGGATCCGCATTAGGGCAGCTCTGCATCCTAATCGGTCGTCCGCGGCAGGCGGGACCAGCTATGCAAGTGTCCGCCGATGGTCAGAAACCTTCGTACCTGGCACGTGGTGCTAGTCTGTCCTGCTGCGCCCCACAGGAAGACTCGGTAAGGCTTCGTGATGCGCACAGGACAGCCCCCTCGCGAGACCGAGCTGGCCTCCACGGGCCCCCCCCCCGAGGAGTCCCAGCTGGCCTCCAAAGGCTCTCCGAGTAGCCCGTGGCGGTGGCAGCACCCGGGCGCCGCCTCCAGCGGCGCCCCTGGGGCGCTCCGCGCTCCAGGGCTGAGGTGTTGCGACCACCCAGGGCTCTTCGGCTCTTCTGGGGGTCCTGAGGCCAGGCTGGGACTGTAGTCAACGTCGATAATGTGAGCGCACGGATGTCCTCGGGGTACTTTTTTTGCGTCCTTGCCTCAGCCCTTCCGGGCGTTGGCAGGTCGCCGCCCAACAGTGCCAATCTCGGCGCCCAATGCCCTTGCGTCCTTACCGCCCGTCCTTACTATAGATTTCGATTGTACTTCGGGGGCCCGTTGAGGCCGGCCTGGGCTGCCTGGGGGGGCTGGCCGTGCGCGACCCGAGACCTCAGCACCCAGGCCTCCCAGATGGGATCGGGGCAGATGGGGTCGGAGGATCGCGCCGCATCGCCGATGCATCAGAGGTGTGGCTCGATGTGGAGCCCGACCTTATCCACGCGATATCGCAGATGCGTCGCCTACGTCTCCGATGCGTCGGCGATGCGTCGGCGGTGCGGCGCGATCTTCCGACCCCAATTGAACTCCGATCCCTCCTGGCAGGCCCCTAGACCACCAGGATTCGCTCATGAAGGCGGTCATCCAGCCCTTTGTGGCCAAGGCCATCGAGGCGAGCCAGGCGGGCGTGCTCTCGTCCCTGAGGAAGCAGCTGGCCCTCGCGGGCCGCGTGCCGGCCCCGAACGCCAGGGCCCCCGCGTGATGGAGGCCGCGGCTCGAGGTCACCTGAACGCGCGGGGGCTCCGCGGCCGCGTGTCACCGCCCAACCCGAAGGCCCCGATTTGCCCTGCATTTCCACTGGGGGTCGGTCGGGGAACATGAGAAAAACACATATGAAGCCCGTACCCCCCCAACCCGAAATTCGGGTCTTCGGGTCGGGTCGGGGTGGTCCGGTAGGTAGTCAGTGTGCGAAACCTCCCCCTGCGGGCCCCATCTCCGAGGAGGACGAGGTGCCCATACCGGTACCTTTGGCTCGTTCTCCCTTTTGGGGGGCCTCTCGGGGAAGCCTTGCCCTCATCGCCACCGCTGGATTCGCCTCGAAGTCCTGGTCCGAACGTGCCCCGGGACAGGTCCGGGGAGCAGCGGTATCGGTAAGTTTTGGTCTCCACGCGAGCCGTCGCCTTGCGGGTCCTATGTGTGATTCCGTCTCATGTCGTCAAAGCGTCATTCCGTCCACTTCTTGTCGTCCAGATTCTATTTCGTCCGCTTCGGTTCGTCCGCTTCGCTTCGTCTGGACGAAGCGAAACCAAAGAGGACGAGAGGAAAGAGGACGAATCGAAAGAGCGAGTTCTGACCCCCAGCCAGTGTTTCAGAAGTCTGACTGGCAGGGGCAGGGTTCGCATACGTGGTTGCCTGCTTGATTTCGCCAGGGCCCCGCCGACCGCCCCGCCTCCGTGCTTTTGTGCCTGGGCTAGGCGCCCCAGCGCTTGCTCGGTGAACTTTTTGTTGGCTTGTTTTTTTTGAACGTTGAGGCTTGGCGCCGGGCCACCCTCAGCCTCAGCGGTAGTCGTCGCCCTTTCGGGTACGCTGGTCGTACGCGAAGCCCGCCGGCGCCACTCCACGTCGGAGACGCCCCCCTGCGTCGTGGCGCGCCGCATCTCTCCCTCTCCCTCTCCTTCCCTCTCCTTCCCCTGCGTCGCGGCCGCCTAGACGTGTCGCAGCCGACGGGGTCAGCAGTTCTCACCGCATCGCCGATGCATCGGCGGTGTGGCGCGACGCGATGCTGAGCCCGACCCTCTCCATGCCGACGTCGCTGATGTGTCGTCGATGCATCTGGCGATGTGGTGTGGTCCTGAGGCCCAATCTGACCCAGACCCGAGTAGTAGGCCTCCACTCTTGCCGTCGTCGTCTATGTTCGTTGCCGTCTGACTGTTGCCGAAGTCGTCGCTGCCGTCGAAAATCAGTTCACAGAAGACATACATCACTTGAACACGTAGGATGAGCGACGGAAGAAAACGAGGGCGACCGTGCGGACATTCGCGCGCAAGCTTCCCGCGTACGGGCGCACGCAAGTGCCCTTCTCTCCTCGCGATGCGCCGCGCTGGCGGCCTGCGTAAAACTTGGCGTAAGGTCTCGCGCAAGACCCTTTTCTTTCGCTGCTCATATGGCGAACAATCCGGTTGCGCTGCCGCGCGACTCCGCCACCGCGGATGGGCGGCCGCCTTGGGGGAATTCTCGGAGCTTTTTTGGAGCTTTGGGGGGGGGCCTCCTCGGGGTCTCTCGGGAGCCTCTCGGGCCACCTTAGGGCGCCCTTGGCCTGCCTGACGCCTTCGCAGGCCGTCTCGGGGGTCTCTCTGGGGCCTTCTTGGGGCGCCTTAGCGCCACTTTGGAGGTCTCTTGGACCTTGGACCGTCTTGCGCGCCTTGAGGGGCCATCTTGGGGACCTCTTGGTCCGTCTTGGGGCCTTCTTGGAGGCCCTTTGGGCTCTCTGAGCGGTTCGGAAGGCCGAAGGGGCGCCAGCGCTAATTTATCCGAAACCAAGCGGAACTGTATATTTTTGGCATGTGCGGGCCCTCCCGGAGGTCCCCTTGGAGGCCTATCATGGCATCTTGCGGACCTCTTGGTCGGTTTTGGGGCTGTCGTGGCAGTCTTGGACCGACGTGGAGGCCATACAGGGCGATTTCGTCAGGCTGTGGGGCAACCTTGGCCGTCCTGGAGGCCACCTGGGGCCATCCTGTCCTTCTTGGACACCCTCTTAGAGTCGCGATGGTGGCGGGGCTAGGGGCGTGGTGGACGGGCGCGCGCCCAGGGGGTGGCGGGAGGGGCCTCAGGGACCGTCTCTCCAACATTTTTTGCATTTTGGGCGATCTTTTGCTGGGAGTGCCTCGCGCGCGGGGTGACTTTGTTAACACTAGTGAGCGTATGTTGGACAGGATGGGCCCGAAATATTGCCTCGCAGTAAGCCAAGGTGACGAGCACACACAAGGCCCGACAGACACCAACCGTTGCAAGCGCGGAAGCGGATATTTCTGATTGGCGCACGCGAGGGTCCGTTCGTGACCGCGGTGTACCTCCTGGGGCCCTTCGGGGCGACCTTGGCGATCACACTCTTCGTCCACTCGCCTCGACCATCCTACCTCGCCCTCCCTCCTCGCTTCCTCCTTGCCTCCCTGCTGCCCTCCCCGTGAGAACATCGGGCAACCGCCAAAGAACACCGAAAGAGCCACATCCGAGGACCTCTCAAGGCCGCCGAATGGCTTCCACGAACCTCTGGCCCTCGCGACCAGCGACCAGTGACCAGCGACGACGGCGACGGCGGCGACGACGGCGACGACGACGACGACGGCGTTGGCGGCGGCGGCGGCCGACGGACGACGCCGCCGTCGCCGCCGAGACCATGGCCGCTCGAGGGGCCCTCGCGCCCGCCTCGGAGGGCCCGCCAGTTGCCTGCGGAACCCAGCGATGTCCCTGGGGAGGGCCCCCGGCGGCCTGCTGCTCGCCGCCCTCGCCCTGAGGCGGGGGGGGGGTGCCCGGGGGCCTCGGACGCCGCCCCCGCCGCTCCTCGGCCCCTCTCTCCTCCTGCCCATCTCTCCGCCTGACTCCTCGTCCTTCTCCTCCTCCTTCCTCTGCCTCCTCCTCCTCCTCCTCCTCCTCCTTCCTCTGCCTCCTCCTCCTTCTCTGCCTCCTGCGTGCTCCTTCCTTCGTTCCTTCCCTCCTCCTCCTCCCCTCGTCCTCCCTGGGATGGCAGAGGCGGGGAGAGGAGGACAAGGAGGGAAAGGATGAGGAGGAGGATATCGGAGGAGGAGGAGGAAGAGGAGGAGCAAAATAGACCCATGGGTACGTGCCAGGAGCAACATAGACCCAGAATGCATCAGTAATTACGCAATACACTCTCCCGTTCCAAGTCCTCTCCCCTCGCAGCGCACTCCCCGATTTGGGCGGCCTCCTGGGGTGCCGCTCGACAGCCGCGCGTCGCCGGGCCCTGTCGGGCTTCCGCGTGTGTCCGGGCCCGTCGAGGTGATGACCCCGCTGCGCCTCCGTATGGGCGTGGGGCCTCGCCACGCACAAGCTGGTGACAAGCTGCGCGCCATGCGCAACGTTCGCAGGGCTCTGGACAGCAGCGCCTCAGGACGGGATACCGTCGGGCCAGCGATCGAGCGCTGGTTGGTGAGCCTGAGCCTTGCCCGCACGTGCCCGTGGAGTGCCGCCTGAGCTGCCTGAGCCCACCGCTGCTGTCTGGGGTCAGTTTGCGGCATGAAGTGCGCGTTGAGGCGGTCTGGTGGCCTAGGAGATCAGTGCGTTGCATCTGTTCCACCTTGAGCGTTTGTCGCCCGGGTTCGGGTCGCTTGGTGCCCTCGCCGGTCGGTGTGGCTCGAGGAGTGCCGCAGGAAAGTGGGTTCGGTGACTCTGGTTGTGATTTCTCACTGTTTTTTCGTGTCGTCAGATCTTAGGGCCTGTCATCCCCGCCTCGTGGCCCTCTGTGGGCCTTGGGGCCGTCCAGAAGCGACCCGGGATAAAAAAAGCTTGTGCTGGGGAAGGACCTTTTGGGGCCCAGGGCCCGCTTTTCCATGGGGAGCCCTTCCTGTATGCTCGAGCCGAGTGGAGGCGTAGGTGGCCGACGCCTGCTGTAGCCCGCACCAGGGCGTTCTCTGCCGTTTCTGTCTGCGCGTGCAGTTCAAGAGTTCCTGCCGACTGGCGTCCCGCCTTCCTCGAGAACAAGGGAATCCCTGACCCTGATATCTAATATCACGAGGAAGACGTGGCCTCACTGAGGTCCTCGTCTTTGCATCAGGGGTAATACTTCTGCATGCGTTTGGTTCGACACACCTGCAGAACAACCCCCCCAATTATTATCCATAATGGTTTTGGCCCTCCTAAGGTCCCCTCCCAAAGGGTTAGAGGGTTTTTTGGGGGTTACTCACTCCTCGCGTCGTGTGTTTGTCGTCTCCCTCGCGCCTCCTGAGGCCGATCGGCCAGCTCCTTCGCCGGTCAAGTCGGACGTGATTCCCTCGCTGCGGCAGCTGGTGTCAGCACAGGCGCCAGCTTCAGTCTTCAGCCCCCAGTCTGAGTGTGGCGTGCGCCCGTTCTTTTTGTGAGGGCCTCCTTCGTTGTGTGTTGGCATCGTCGACAGTTCATTGCACCTGTGCGGATCGGAGGTGTTTCAGCGGGTCGCGTGCAGTCCGACTGACGCACTCCTCCTCCATCCCCTTCCCCATCTTCGCCTTTGTTCTCCTTTCCCTCCCTCTTCTGCCTGCTCTCCTCCCTCCTTCTCCTTCGTCGTTCCTTATCCCGCTTCTATCTCCCCGTTAACTCTCTTTCTACTTCTGTGGCTCCTGCCATTTTCCTCCTCCGTGTTCCCCCCACCCCCGTTCTCCTTCTCGTCCTCCTGCAAGCATGAGTTCCGCGGGTGGCGTACGTTGTGGGTGGGTCACGCGCCGGCCTGGCCCAAAGTAGGCCCAAGCGCCGCTCCGCGGGGCTCCGAGTGACCTCGATTAGCCACTCGGGGAAGTCGCCCACACACCTCCTTCAACCTCCTTGTGACTCCTGCCACTTCCCTCCTCCGCGTTCTCCCCCCAGTTCTCTTTCCTCGTCCTCCTCCGCCTCCTCCTCCTTCCTTCTCCCTCCTCCCTGATCTCGTCCTCCCCTTCCCCCCTCATCTCAGTCCTTTCCCTCCTCCCTCCCCTCCCCTCCTACCTACCCTCCCTTCTGTGCTCTTCCCTCTTTCGCCCTCGTCGCCGTCCACCTCGTCGTCGTCGCCGACGTCTTCGCCTTCGCACTTCTTCGCCCTCGTCGTCGTCGCCGTCGCCGTCGTCACCGTCGCCCTCGTCGCCGCCGTCCTCGTCGCCGTCGCCCTCGTCGCCGCCGTCGTTGTCGTCGTCGTCGTCGTCGTTGCCGTCGTCGTCGTCGTCGTCGTCGTCGTCGTCGTCGTCGTCGTCGTCGTCGTCCTGGTCGTCGTCGTCATCGCCGTCGCCGTCGCCCTCGTCGTCGTCGTCGCCCTCGTCGCCGCCCTCGTCGTCGTCGTCGTTGTTGTCGTCGCCGTCGCCGCCGTCGCCGTCGTCACCGTCGCCCTCGTCGCCGCCGTCCTCGTCGCCGTCGGCCTCGTCGCCGCCGTCGTTGTCGTCATCGTCGTCGTCGTCGTTGCCGTCGTCGCCGTCGTCGTTGTCGTCGCTGGCGTCGTCGTCGTCGCCGTTGTCCTTGAGGCGGGGGCTCGCAGACCGCGCCTGGGTCGGCGTCGAGGACGACCCGTCGCAGGTGGCGGCCCCTGGCTTCCGCGTCTTCGCGTCGACGTTCAACGCGGGCAACAAGGCGGGCTCATCGGCCCTCCCCGGAAACCGTTTCTCGATTGTCCTGCGGTCTTGGGTCTTCGTTCTGAGTCGGCAGCGCCCCGCGTCTTCCTTCCCGCCTTCCTCCTCGTCCTCGTCCTCTTCCTCGTATCCTCCTCCTCCTCGTCGTCGTCGTCGTCGTCATCGTAATTATCATCATCATCATCATCATCATCATCATCATCATCAGCAGCAGCAGCAGCAGCAGCATCATCATCATCATCATCATCATCGTCACCATCATCATCATCATCATCATCATCATCACCATCAGCATCACCATCACCATCATCATCATCATCATCATCAGCATCCACATAATCATCCACATAATCATCTGCAACGTCATCATCGTCATCATCATCATCAGCATCATCATCATTTTCGTCGTCATCGTCGTCGCCGTCGTCGCCATTATCATCGTCATCGTTATCGTCCGTAGCCATTTTCTGGCGCAAGGCGGTGGTCCCTGGCCCACTTGTTCGGCATGCGCCTGTAAGGCCCTTTGCTATCGCTTGCACCTGTTGACATGGAGCCGCATCTGCTGGTGTGCGCGCTACAGTCACAACTTTTGCGGGCGCTCTCCGACGCCCCTTGTTTGCATTTTGAAGGTATGGCGCAAGCAGCTCGGCTATGCAAGCAGCACAAACACATTGACGGCAAACTCTGAAAAATGCTGGCCGAGCTTGACTATGCCTACAACATCACGCGGGATACCACCCAGGCGGGTGTGGACGCCTTCGTCTCCGAGGTCCAAGAGCACCTGGCATCAGCACATGGTGGACCTCGTCACTCACAAGCCTGGAGGTCAAGGGCATGAGGTACCTGCTGCTCTTGTCGCAGTGCCTATTCGGAAGCTTGTGGTCAGGAGTTGCCGACGACAACGTATACGGCTGCATCTCCTTCTGGTTCATTGGCGTCTCCGGCTATTGCCCCCACTTCGACAGCATCTTCGACTCCCTCGACAGCAGCTTTGGCATCGGCTCACCTTCGTTGGCGGCCTCACGAGCTGACTTGTCGACGGTTTCGCAGGCGTACTTCGATGGCGACTTCCACTACCGCATCGGCGGCGGCGCTTCGTAAGCTCATGTGCCAGATGGTGGAGATGCCAAAGACACCGTCCTCCTAGAAGAGTGCTCGAGGCAATGGCAGGTGGAGGAGGAGTGCGTGCCCGACAGGTGCAATGAGGATTCTGCCGGCTTTCCTGACAAACCCGAGGCGTGCCCGCGTCGCCGTGGAATAAAGCTTGCGCCCGTCAGTGCCCGTGGCGCGGCTAGCTCGTCGGCCAAGCCGCCCACGCCTCACTATCGCAGACATGGTGCCCGAGCCGGTTCCTCGCATTCCAAGCGCGCGCCGCTTACCAGAGACAAAAATTGTAAGCGCAGATCAGCGTATCTCCGTTGCAGGTTCGCGATGCTCGTGCATCGAATTTTTAGCACGCGAACTCGAGCGCTCGTGGGAGTCCTGGTCATCGTCATCGTCGTCGTCATGGTCATCGTCATCGTCACCACCGCTACCACCATAGTCGCCATCTCCATCATCATCATGTTCATCATGTGCAGCGTCGTCACCATCACCATCATCATCATAACCATCGTCAGCATCACCATCGTCAACTTTCTCGTCGTCGTCTTCGTCATCGTCGTCGTTATCGGCTTCCTTCCCACCGCCACCATAATCATCATCATAATCGTCATCATCATCATCACCAACGCCGCCATCATCATCAGCTATATGATAAGAACCTTTGTTATTTAACACGGTCCCCGTCATCAGCAGCACCATCACCATCACCATCCTCGTCGTGCTCATACTTTTCACCGCTGCCGTTATCATCACCATCATCTACATCATCTTCACAGCGTGTCTCCGTCTCAGTTCTTGCTTTGTTGTCTGACCCCGTCTTCAGAGTTTGTGCAGGAATTTGCTCACACTTGTTTCAAATTTCGGAGGTAGTGCAGGCCCAACGAGCGTAAACTTACCACACCCAAAGCGCACGGCATCATCATCACCCACACCATCACAATCGCAATCACCATCACGTTCATCGCCGTCACCAAAACCATCGACATCATCACAATCATCCGTATCATCATGAGCATCATCATTCAGCATTACCATCGTCGTCATCATCACCATCATCTTCGCAACCTTCATTTTCATCATCATTCGTGCCAGCGTCACCATCATTTCCCATGATCGTCGCCACCATCGTTGTCGGTATCATCACCATCATCATCATCACCATCTGGATTATCTCCACCCGCACCATGATCATCGTTGCCATCGCCATCATCATAAACCCCACCAGCATTAGCATCAGCACTGTAACCATCATCAGCCACAATCTGGCACACCCCTCAGACTTCGTGGCCCCATGGGGAGCCCAAACCGAAGCCTACATGCCAGGGTTCGTACGAGTTACCGCCTTTCCACTTCGGCATGCCACTCACACGTTTCGTGGCCCAGTGCCAAAGTTCGCGTCAAGTCTCGCGCTCCATGCCGGCGCACCCTTCACGCGTGTGTTGGCCCCATAGAGTGGACTCCAAGTAATGCCCACATTCCAGGTTTCGCATGCATTCCCGTTTTTCATGTCGGCACACGCGTACATGGTTCGTGGCCCCATAAGGAACACCAGCGAAGACCCAAAGGCCATGGATCGCATGTGTTCCCGCTTTTGATTCCGGCACACTTCTCACACGCTTCGTGGCCCAATCAGGAGCTCCAATTAAGACCTAATGCCTTCGTTCGCTTGAGTTCCCGCCTCACCTTCTCGCACACCCTTCATACGCGTCGTGGCCCCACAAAGGGGCATCCAGCAAAGGCCCAAATGCCAGGGTTCGCATGTATTCCCGCTTGTCATGTTGGGCCCCATCCTTCAAACGTGTCGTGGCCCCATAGGGATCTCCAGCTGAGGCCCAAGTTCCAGAATTGGCATGAGTTCCCCCATGTCATTTTGGCATACCCCTCTTCTCGTTTCGTGGTCCAATAGGGAACCCCAAGTTAGGGCCAATTTCCAAGGTTGGCATGAGTTCCTGCTTGTCATTTTTGGCATTCTCCTCACATGTGTCGTGGCCCCATAGGGAGTTCCAGTTAAGGCCCACATGCCAGAGTTCGCATGAGTTTCAGCTTGTCAGGTCAGCACACCCGTCACACGTTTCGTGGCCCCCTTATGGACCTCCAGCTAAGGCCCAAATACCTGAGGCTGCGTGAGTTCCCGCATTTCATGTCGGCGCACCCCTAGCACTTTTCGTGGCCATATAGGCCATAGGCACTTTCACCAACCGCGCCAGTGCGAGCGCCATGTCTCCCCACATTTTACATTTTCTTGCCCCACAGGGAGTTCCCTTTTATCGTCCCACCTGCCTTTAGAAACTCACGCTTGCCTATGGTCGGATCCGTCGCCAGGGTTTTGTCCCTGGCGGTAACGGGCGTTACCGGGTTGGGGGAGGGGAAGGGGCCTGTAACGTCACCATTCATTCTGAGTGGCTAATTCCCAGACGGCGCCAGCGCGCTTCGTGACGTTTGCAGGGAGGGGGGCGGGGCCAGTAACGGGCGTTATCGCGAATAATCATGCCTGACATCCTTGCGTCGTGACCAAAAACGCTGCGTTTGGGAATTTTTGTGCTCCGTGGGCCATTCCCAGGGACTGGGGCGGTTAAAACAGCTCGGGATGTCGGTCCTTGAGACAGGTCCAGACCTCTGAAGGGAAGCCTTCTTAAGAAGGTCACGGCGTTGGATGTCTTGGTCCATTTTCTTCTTCGCCTCCTGCTCGGGGGATGAAGACTGAACACAACACCGATCCTGCCCCAGCCAGGACCGGTCAGGCGGTCATTTGACGTCCCCCGGCCGTCGATGTTTCTGCTTGTTCGCATTTTTGAGGAGGGGGAGGCGGAGGCGGAGGAGGCGGAGGCGGAGGCGGTGGAGGAGGAGGAGGAGGAAGAGGTGGAGGAGGAGGAGGAGGAGGAGGAGGAGGAGGAGGCGGAGGATCCGGATGATGATGATGAGGAGGAGGAGGAGGCGGAGGCGGAGGCGGAGGCGGAGGAGGAGGAGGAGGCGTAGGAGGAGGAGAAGGAGGAGGAGAAGCAGAGGCGGAGGCGGAGGAGGAGCGGAGGAGGAGGAGGAGGAGGAGGAGGAGGAGGAGAGGAGGAGGAGGAGGAGGAGGAGGAGGAGGAGGAGGAAGAGGAGGAGGAGGAGGAGGAGGAGGAGGAGGGGAGGAGAGAGGAGGAGGAGACGGAGGAGGAGGAGGAGGAGGAGACGGAGGAGGCGGAGGAGGCGGAGGAGGCGGAGGCGGAGGAGGAGGAGAGGCGGAGGAGGAGGAGGAGGAGGAGAATCTGAGGAGGAGGATACGAGGCGGAGGAGGCGGAGGCGGAGGAGGAGGAGAGGAGGAGGAGGAGGAGGAGGAGGAGGAGAGAGAAGGAGCAGGAGGAGGAGAAGGCGGAGGAGGATGCTATGAGGAGGAGGAGGAGGAGAAGGAGGAGGAGGAGGAGGAGGAGGAGGAGGAGGAGAGGAGGAGGAGGAGGAGGCGGAGGAGGAGGAGGGAGGAGGGCGGAGGCGGAGGCGGAGGCGGAGGAGGAGGAGGAGGAGGAGGAGGAGGAGGAAGAGGAGGAGGAGGAGGAGGAGGAGGAGGAGGAGGAGGAGGAGGAGAGGAGAAGGCGGAGGTGGAGGAGGAGGCGGAGGAGGAGGATGAGGAGGAGGAGGAGGAGGATGAGGAGGAGAAGGATGAGGAGGAGGAGGTGGAGGAGGAGGAGGAGGAGGAGGAGGAGGAGGAGGAGGGGGGAGGAGAGGAGGAGGGCCTGGCGGCCGCATGCCGCGGCCGCCATGGACAATGTCCCCCCGGGTAATCGCTGGTGTCCCGCCTCGCGGCCTCGACATTGCTCCGCATAATTACAGCGGTCGCCATGTCCTGAGGGTCCCCGCGAGTCCCTGGTGTCCCCCCTTTCGGGGGCGGCAAAGAGGGGTGTGATGACTAGGGGGGGGTGGATATCATGGCGGGGGCCAGGATTTCTCCCCAGGTTTCATGGCGCCTCTTCTTATCTCATTTCGTCCCTGGCCCCCCCCCCTGGGCCGCGCACATGCCGCCGGCCATGATTTGCGCCCCCCTCCTTTTGGACGCCCCCCTCTTAGTCGGCCCTGACCCTTGCGTCCTTGATGCATGATGTCAGGATAAGCGGTGCGAAAAGTTACATTCAGACTACAACACAATACCTTTGGAAATGATTTAAGACTTTTCTGTACAGCCAGTGAGATGCTAACGCTTTCGCCCCCGCACCCATGGCCGAAATGCTATCCGCTCTTCCTCCTTTTCAGTCGTCGGTGTTCTTATACATTCCTTCATGTTCACTTCCTCTTCCAAATATTATTCCGTGCAATATTAGTTTAGCTATGCCACTTCAGCTTCCTTGTTCTTCGTAGTGTGATATTAATGGGATGCTCTCTCCATGCTATATTGGTTGTCCTTCCATGCTCGTTGTGTGTTCGTTGCTGGCTCCTTCGGTGTTATTATTATCCGTTCACTCCGCTCTTTGTGATTTCGGCAATTTCCGAACAGCATACTAGTTGATGCCTGGTTCCTTGTATGGTAGGTTTGTCATGTGATATTGTTGTCGTATCTTCAGCATCTGTTATGCTTTGTATTTCCCAGTGCCCTTTTGTTTGTGTGACTTTTATCTTGTATTGCTCTTCTAATCGCGTGTCCCGGATGAGAAGGTATAAAAAGGTACACCTTCAGCACCAACGAGTTCGTTATCTCTGGCCAAGACACTTTTGGTCAGCGGTAGGGTGGCCCGTCTCCACGTCTCCACCAAGGGCTGGAATGTCTTACCGTGTTGGAGCTGCGTTAGAGTGTCCTGGGCAATTGGCTTGGGGAGGCTCCTCCAGAGCGAGCAGGGTATCGTGATGTGGGGAACTCCGATTGCAGCATACTTTGACACATCAGAAAGAGCGTGTTCTACCGCTGCTGGCGGCAAACCGGGGGGGGTCACTACCGGTTCGAACCCCTCCCCCCCCCCCCCCCCCCCCCCTCCGGAAAACCGGGGGGGGCACTACCGGTTCGAACCCCTCCCCCCACCCCCCCCCCTGCTCATCATGAAAAGGGGGGGGGGTCACTACCGGTTCGAACCCCTCCCCCCCCCCCCCCCCCCCTCCGGATCCGGAAAACCGGGGGGGGTCACTACCGGTTCGAACCCCCCCCCCCTCGAAAACCGAGTGGGGGTGCGGACAGTGGTGGGGACGGTGTTGGTGGGGACAGTGGTGAGGGGATAGCGGGACAGTGGTGGGGACAGTGGGACAGTGGGACAGTGGTGGGGACGGTAGTGGTGGGGACAGTGGTGGGGACAATGGTGGGAACAGGGGGGGACAGTGGACAGTGGTGGTGACGGTGGTGGTGGGGACAGTGGTGTGGGGACAATGGGAATGAGGTGGAAACAGTGGGACAGTGGAGGGTACAATGGTGGTGGGGACAGTGGTGAAGGCGGTGGCGAGGACGGCGGTGGGACAATGGGACAGAGGTACAGTGGGGACAGTGGTGGGGACAGTGGGGACAGTGGTGGGAACAGTGGGACAGCTCAGTGGGACAGCGGAGGAGTCAGTGGGACAGTGGGGACAGTGGGGATAGTCGGGCAGTGGTTGGGGCCGTGGAGACAGTGGGGAGAGTGGAACCGTGGTGGGAACAGTTCTGGGGACAGCGGGGACAGTGCGACAGTGGTGGGGCCACTGGTGGGGACAGTAGGGGCGGTGGTGGAACCAGTGGGGACAGCGGTGGTGAGGACAGTGGTGCTGGGAACACCAGTGGGGGATGTGATGCGGACGGTGGTGGGGACCGGGAGTCGTTTGCTGGCGGTGAGTGGGGGGGGGGGGGGTTCGAACCGGTAGTGACCCCCCCCGGTTTTCCGGATCCGGAGGGGGGGGGGGGATTCGAACCGGTAGTGACCCCCCCCCGGTTTCGAGCGGAGGGGGGGGGGGGGGAGGGGTTAGGGAGGGGGGGGGTTTTACCGGGGGAAGGGGGGGGGGGGGGGGGGGGGGGGAGGGTTCCAGCAGGGGGGGGGATTTTCGGAGGGGGGGGGGGGGCGACCCCCGGGTTCCAGAGGAAAAGGTTGGCAATTTTCCATAGTAAAGCGGCGGTGGATCACGCTCTCTCACACATCACCATCCGAACAATACTGCCAGGCCCGAGCTGAACAGAGCAATACGGCCAGGCCCGAGCTTGAAAGATTATTGCCAGCAGGCGCCGAGCTCCAGATGAGCTCAGCGAGGACGTCTCGATCGCGCTCCCTCGCAAGCCCTGCCTCCTCATCATCCTCCTGCTCCTCCCCCTCTTCTTGAGTTACGTACGTTGCGTCTCTCATACTGAGACTTGTTAGCAACATCTTTCTTATTCCTCCTGAGTCCCGAACTTTAATTATCATCAGGGGCACTTGGTTATTCTGCAGCTATCCTGCCTGCCTGCCTCCCTGCATCCTCCCTGCCTGCCTCCCTCCTCTCTCCTCCATGCTTTCCCCTCTATCTCTGCTCCCCCTCCCTTGCTTTCCCCCCTCACGCTTCCAGACCTCAGAGCCGGACAGCGTCGGCATGGGCGCACCAGACGGAACGTCCACCCGGGACCCGTTCGAGGCAAGAGTTGGAGGACAGCAAAGGAGAGGCTCAACATATCGTACAGAGTGATGAAGGCCTTTGAGCAGACGAGGCGGATTTTTCATTCGGTCATCCTTTCTGTGAAGCAGAGGGGGTGGCGAAGTCGGTGGTTTCATGTTTTAGGGGTTGCAAGGTCTGAGGCTTGTCACCAGGCAGGTGTACGGGCACGGCCACACGTCCTCGGACTTCTTCGGCGCGATCTATTCGACCTCGACCCCGTCGGCAAGGCCGCCTTCATGACGCTGGGCAGGTACTGTGAGGAGTGGTGGAGGACAGCGGACGTGAAGCACAGGAACGGTAATGTGGTGCCAGCGACCATGCAGAGGCGCGTCTGCGAGCAGGCCCTCATCGACGATGAAGGCGGCAATTCGGAAGCAGGACCGATCAGCGCGACTCTCCAGGCGACCACCGCGGCAGGGTGGCAGGTCGAGAGCGCCACAGTTTGTCTCCCCGCGCTACGGCGGGCTCTCCATCCTCGAGCATAGCCCGAAGCGCATGGGGTGTACTACAAGGGCGTCATGGGCAGTGTGCGCACCAAGGCCACAAGGAGGGTGTGCGTAGGCGCGAGGGACTCACCGAACAAGACCTGCCCATAGTCTGGTGGGACGCCGTCACCAGCACATTCGCCTCCACGCACATGATGCCCCTTGAGAAGCGACCCGTGGCTGCGGTCGTCGGCGGGACCTACTTCACGGGCGCCAAGATGTACGACGGCAGTGCAGGTGAGTGAAGGCACGGTCGTGTGCCAGGCACGTTGGCGCATCGCCTCGGAGCGTGCGTGGCATGTTAGCAGGGCCATGACAGCGTGGTCTTTCCATCCCCTCCGCGCCTTGAGCACCGCAGCGCGCATGGGAATGGTGATATCGACGGTTTGTTTTGTCCGCGAACCCCGTTCCTCCCCCGTTCGGCAGGTGGCCTTGCCGTGCGCGCCCGCGAAGGTGTTCGTTCGAGCGTTCGTTTGCGATGATGACGTGGATGTCGAACGCTTTGCGTTTCACCCTGACCGGCCCTTAGCAAGAAATAGCTCCGCCACAACCAGTGCGCTCGAAGAGCTCCTTGTGGCGGGGTGAGCGGTGGTGTGGTGGGGGGTGGGGTGGGAGGGGGGGCGGGATCGTTGGCAAGCTTCTGGACTCCTTACCTCTCAGTTCCTTCCCTCCGCCCTATGCTGCTGAGCTCCAGGCCTGTGTGTGGAGCTGAATTTGGTGACAGGGGCCAGGGCTACTTGGGTGAGTGCGGCTGTGTTGGCAGCCTCTGCACCTCTAGTCTCGCGTGGTTGGATGCTGGGCACTGGCGCCGCGTGCGGCACGGCGACCTCGCATGCGCAGCGACGGTCGAGGTCAAGTCGCACCAGGACGTCCAAGGCGCCCTTCAGACGGAGGGTGAGTCGCGGGTCGTCTTCAATGCGTGGGCCGATGAAGCAGCGAACGCAGCACTCAGCCTGCGGCCGCGACGGGCCCCGGAAGAGGTGCGCCTGGATGAGGTCTTCGCGGAGGCACGGCGTGGTTTGATGGTCCTTGGGCGCGTGCTGGCGCGAGGACCTCCGCCCAGAGCTGAGTGGGCCCATTTCCCGCCGCGCGAGCGTCCCCCAGCGGCTGGGCGTGTGGCGCACACTGCACGCAGCACATCTCAACGCCACTTTGCTCTGGCGGTGTGCGCTGAGGGCCTATCATCGCTCCCCGCAGGACGTGCGTGAGGAGGAGGAGGAGGAGGAGGAGGAGGAGGAGGAGGAGGAGGCGGAGGAGGCGGAGGAGGCGGAGGAGGCGGAGGAGGCGGAGGAGGAGTGCGTGTGCGTGCTCACACTTTCCGCGCCAACTCTTGGGGGCGCCGCGCGCCCACGGTCAGAGGCCATCCCGGCCTTCCAGCAGAGGAGACCATGCAGGCACGGATCGCACCGCCAGCGACCATCGGCCACCTCGTGCAGACCGTGCTGCGGAGAGCACGGCCTCTCGCCCTCAGGCCGTCCTCCGATGGGCTTCGAAGGCGGGCGAGCACCTCCAAGAGGTCCTCAGAGCATGCTTTCCCTCCTCCATGGTCCGCCCTCCTCTTCTCTCCTCTTCATCCCCAGACGGCCGACGTCATGTTTGTTTGTTTGGCCAGTTTGCTTTTTAATTCCCCCTGGAGGTCTGGACCCCTTCCCGGGGGCTAGCTTTTCCTCCCCGTTTTCGATGGTTCTGGGGACCAGCGATTTACAATTTTACGCACGATGCGTGCGGGTCAGGGTCTTGGAGCAAAACCTACTCCCAAATCTGTCCCGGGGTGCGTTCCGGTCAGAATTTCGAGGGGATTCCAGCTGTGGCTACGGGACCCCCCCCGGAGGCCGTTCGTCGAAGCCATCTCTTCGAGCCTTGATCCTCGAAGCTCGAACCCTTAACCTCGTGATCCTTTCCCCCCCAAGGCCTTCAAGGAGAGGGGCCGCACGCGGAAGAGGTTCGATGACTTGCTCTCGAAGATGCCCTGCGCTCTGCGGCGGCACGTCCTGACAGGGGAGGGTGGGAGAAGGAGGAGGAGGATGAGGAGGAGGAGGAGGAGACGCAGGTCGCAGCAGGAACAGGAGCATGAACAGGAGTAGGACCAGGACCAATACCATGATGATGATGATGATGATGATGATGATGATGATGATGATGATGATGATGATGATGATGATGATGATGATGATGATGATGATGATGATGATGATGATGAACATGATGATGATGATGATGAACATGAACATGATGATGATGATGATGATGAACATGAACATGATGATGATGATGATGATGATGATGATGATGATGATGATGAGGAGGAGGAGGAGGAGGAGGACGATGATTTGCTGCTGGTTCTGCTGCTGCTGATGATGATACTGGAGATGGTGGTGATGATGATACTGTTTATAATGGTAGTACTGCTGCTGATGATGATGATGGTGATGATGTTGACGACGATGATGCTTATGTTGATGGTGATGCTGATGATACTGATTGTGATGATGCGTGTGATGATGTTGACATTGATGCTGCTGCTGCTGATGAGGGTGATGATGAAGAGGATTGTGTTGTCGTTGATGATGATTAGGGTGACGACCACGTTAATCATGATGCTGATGATGCTGATGATGATGATGACGATAATGATGATGATGATGATGATGATGATGATGATGATGATGATGATGATGATGATGATGATGATGATGATGATGATGATGATGATGATGATGATGATGATTATGATGATGATGAATGATGATGGTGATGATGATGCTGATGCTCATGATGCCGATAACGATGATCATGTTGATGATGAATCTGATGATGTTGATGATGCTGACGATTATGATGGTGATGGTGATGCTGATCATGATGCTGATGCTGATGATGATGATACTGAAGATGAAGATGATGGTGATGATGCTGATGCTGATGCTGATGATGATGAGGATGATGATGATGATGGCATTGATGATGCTAATACTGATAAGACTGATGACACTGATGATGCTACTGATACTGATATTGATACTGATGATGCTGATGATGATAACTATGATGCTGCTGAAGCTGAGGATGATTATGATTATGATGCTGATGATGCTGCTGATGCTGATGCTGCTGCTGATGATGATGATGATGATGATGATGATGACGCAGATGATGATGTTGCTGATGCTGATGATGAAAATGATGATGCTGATACTGATGATGCTGATGATGATGCTGATGATGATGATGCTGCTTTTGATGATTCTGATGCTGCTGATTATGATGATGATGGTGGTGGTGGTGGTGGTGGTGTTGGTGGTCGTGATGATCATTATGCTAATGATGCTGGTGCTGCTGATGATGACGATGATCATGATGCTAATGATGATGCTGATGATGACGATGATGATGATGATGATGATGATGATGATGATGGTGGTGGTGGTGGTGATGATGAAGATTTTGATCTAGATGTAGACGATGACGATGGTGGTGGTGGTGGTGATGATGAGGATGATGATGAAGACCAGGAGGACGCCTGATGATGAGGAGGGAGAGCCGTGGCAGGGGGAGGGATGGGTTGCGGGATGATAGTGGCCATGTTGATGATAGTGGTGGTGATGATGCCGGGGGCTGTGATGCTTGCGCGTTGGCGCTGTGATGCAGATATTTGAAATGACGATCACGATGTCGATGCTGCCGATGACGATGAGGATTCTGAGGATAATGACGTTGAGTAGGATGATGAGGATGCTGAGGACAATGCTGATGCTGATAATGATGTTGATTGCGGTGGTCTTGATGACGACAATGTTAATATTCTTGAAGATGGTGATGGTGGTGGTGGTGACGACGATGCTGATGATGCTGATGCTGCTGGTGGTTGTGATGGTTATGGTGATTCTGATGGTGATCGTGATTCTGAAGATGATTCGATACGAGGGAGGGAGGTGAGGAGGAGGAGGAGGTGGAGGGGGAGGATGCAGAATAGGACGAGTCGGACGACAGCTACGCACACATCAAGAGACAGGGAGAAGGAGGAGGCGGAGGAGGAGGGATGATGATGCTGATGATGATTATGGTGCTCATGATGATGATGTTGATGGTGCTGATGATTCTGATACTGATGCTGATGATGATAATTATGCTGCTGATGACGATGCGGATGGTGATGATGACGATGCTGATGCTGCTGCTGATGCTGATGCTGCTGCCGCTGCTCCTGATGACGATGCCGCTGATGATGATGATGGTGATGATGACGATACTGATTATGATGACGATACTAACGACGACGAAGCTGATGCTGACCATGATGCTGCTGGTGATGATGATGAAGAGCATGCTGATGCTGATGCTGATGCTTATGCTGATGCCGATGATGCTGCTGACGATGGTGATGATGATGATCATGCTGTTGCTGACGATGATGCCGCTGCTGACGCTGATGACGATGGCAATAACGATGGATATTGAGCTGATGATGATACTGATGCTGATGATGCTTGGGATGATGGTGATGAAGATGGTATGATGATGTTGATGATGATGCTGATGATGATCATGACCATGCTGCTGATTATGATGATGCTGATGCTGGCGATAATGATGCTGATGATGACGACGATGCGGATGCTGTTGCTGACGATGATGATGCTTATGATGACCCTGACAATGATGATGATTTTGATGATGATGATGATGATGATGATGATGATGATGATGCTGATGTCAATAATGATGATGCTGATGACGATGATGATGCTGTTGATGCTGACGATGATGATACTGATGATGCTGCTGCTGATGACGATGATGATGCTGATGATGATGATGATGGTGATGATGCTGATGCTGATGCTGATGATGATGATAATGCTGCTGGCGATGCTGCTGTGGATGATGACTATGATGCGCATGCTGTTGCAGATGATGTTGATGAGGATGCTGCTGATGATGATGGTGCTGATGATGATGAGGCGGATGATGATGATGCTGACGATGAGGATAATCATGATGATGATGATGCTGATGATGATGATGATGATGATGATGATGATGATGCTGACCATGCTCATGATGATGGTGAGGATGCTGATGTTGATCATGATGATGATTATGATGCTGGCGATGATGACGAGGATGATGCTGATGCCGATGATGCTGATGCTGTTGGCGATGATGATGATGATGATGATGAGGGTGCGGCTGCTGATGATGATGACGATGTCTGATGATGATGCTGATGATGACGATGATGATGATTATGCTGCCGTTGATGATGATGTTGCTGCTGATGATGCTGGTGATGCTGATGCTGATGATGCCGCTGCTGCTGCTGTCGATGATGATCGTGATGATGATGATGATGATGGTGGTGGTGGTGATGATGCTCATGATGATGGTGATGCTGATAATGATCATGATGATGACGATGGTGATGATGGTGATGATGATGATGATGATGACGAATATGATCATGATGATGATGCTGATGATGAAGATGTTGTTGATGCTGGTGATGATGATGATGATGATGATGATGATGATGACTATGATGGCGATGATGCTGATGCTGATGATGGTGCTGATCATGATGATGATGATGATGATGATGATGATGATGCTGATGATGCTGATGCTGATGCTGATGCTGATGCTGATGACGATGACGATGACGATGATGATGATGATGATGATGATGATGAGATGATGATGATGATGATGATGATGATGATGATGATGATGATGATGATGATGATGATGATGATGATGGGCAGGAGGAGGAGGAGAGGAGGAGGAGGAGGAGGAGGGACGGAGGAGGAGGAGGAGGGAGGGGGAGGAGGAGGAGGCGGCGGAGGAGGATGAGAGGAGGAGGAGGAGGGAGGAAGGGAGGAGGGGGAGGAGGGGAGGAGGAGCAGAGGAGGGGAGGAGGAGAGGATGAGGAGAGGAGGAGGAGGAGGAGAGAGGAGGAAGGGGGGAGGAGGAGGAGGAGGAGGAGGAGGAGGAAGAAGGAGGAAGAAGAAGAAGAAGAATAACACGAACAATAATCATCATAATAATAAGAAGAATAATTCCACGAATAATGCTAAGACGAAGACTAATAATAATACGAATAATAAGAAGAAAACGAATACGACGACGAAAACTAATACTACTACTACTACTAACAATACTATTGATACTAAGAAGACGAATCATACTACTAATGATAAGAATGATAATAATATGAACACTCTAACTGATAAGAAGAGCAATACTACGAATAATGAGAAGAACACGAAGAACACTAAGAATACTAAAACGAATACGAAAACATAACAATGATAATAATAATGATAATGCGAAGAATAATAAGAATACGAATAATCATGCTAATAAGGAGAAGAGGAGGAGGATGAGGAGGAGGAGGAGGAGGAGGAGGAGGAGGAGGAGGATAATGTGGAGAACGACGAGGAAGAGGGACGATGAGGAGGAGGGACAGGGAGAGACGCGGAGGAGGTGGGATCAGGATGGGGGGGGGTGGAGGGGGGATACGGAGGCTCGAAGAGCCGTGGATTCCTCCTACTCCCCCCCTCCTCCTCCTCCTCCCCCTCCCCCGCCCTCCTCCTCTCCTCCTCCTCCTCCTCCGCCTCCTCCTCGCCATTCCCCTCCTCCTCCATCCTCCTCCTCCTCCTCCTCCTTTCCCTCTCCTTCTCCTTCTCCTTCTCCTTCTCTTTGTCCTTCTCCTTTCCCTTCTCCTTGTCCTTCTCCGTCTCCTCCTCCTCCTCCTCTTCCCCCTCCTCCTCCTCCTACTCCTCCTTCCTTCTTTTTCTGTTGCTTCCCCTCCTCCTCCTCCTTTTCCTCCTCCTCTGGGGAAGAGTGTCATGATTGGCGCCCTCGTGACAGGAGGTGCTCCGTGGGCATGGCCCTCCTCCTGAGGGAGAGGGGGCCTGCGGATTACGGAGGGCCATGGCGATTCCGACCTCGTCATCTTGGGCTCCCAGGGAGGGGGAACGGCGGAGGAGGAGGATGAGGAGGAGGACGAGGACGAGGACGAGGACAAGGAGGAGGATGATGAGGAGCAGTAGGAGGAGGAGGAGGAGGAGGAGGAGGAGGAGGCGGAGGAGGCGGAGGAGGAGGAGGAGGAGGAGGAGGGGGGGGGAAGAGGAGGGGAGGAGGAGGAGGAGGGGGAGCGGGGGAGGAGGATGAGGAGGAGGAGGAGGAGGAGGAGAGGAGGAGGAGGAGGAGGAGGAGGAGGAGGAGGAGGAGGAGGAGAGGGAGGGGGAGGGAGGACGGGTGAGGAGGCGGAGGACGAGACGAGAACGAGAGTAGGAGGAGGCGGAGTAGGAGGGGGTGGAGAGGAGGAGGAGGAAGGGGAGGAGGAGGAGAAGGAGGAGGAGGAGGAGGAGGCGGAGGAGCGGAGCCGGGAGGAGGAGGAGGAGGAGGAGGAGGGGGAGGAAGATGAGGAGGCCGAAGCGAGGACGAGGAGGAGGAGGATGGGGTAGGAGGAGGAGGAGGGCAGAAGGAGGGAGGAGGAGGAGGAGGAGGAGGAGGAGGAGGGGGAGGGAGAGGAGGAGGGGGAGGGAGAGGAGGAGGAGGAGCATTTTGAGGAGGAGGAGGTGGAGGAGGAGGTGGAGGAGGCGGAGGAGGAGGAAGAGGAGAAGGCGACGGATTGCGCAGCAGGAGCAAAAACAGGAGCATGACCAGGAGTAGGACAAGAACCAGCACCATGATGATGATTCTGGTGATGCTGACGGTGGTGATGATGAGGATGCTTATGATGTTGATGATGCTGATGTTGATGATGACGATGACGCTGATGATGAAGCGGACAGGATGAGTATGAACTGCTGTTAGTTCTGCTGCTGTTGATGATGGTGATGCTGGTGTTGACGAAGGTGGTGATGATGGTACTGTTGATGATGATAACGATGCTGCTGCTGATGATGATGCTGACGATGGTGATGATGCTGATGATCTGATGAGGCTGATGATGGTGATGATACTGATGATGATGTTTGTGATGGTGCTGACGTTGATGCCGATGATGGTGCCGCTGCTGCTGAACATGATCATGATGATGTTGGTGCTGATGAGGGTGATGTTGAAGAGGAATGTGTTGTCGTTGGTGATGAATATGGTGACGGCGGCGACGCTTGTGATGATTCTGCTGCTGCTGACGATGATGATGACGATGATGATTCTGCTGCTGCTGATGATGCGGATGATGATGTTGTTGATGATGGTTGTGCTGCTGCTGCTGATGCTGATGATGATGCTGACGATGGTGATGATGTTGCTGCTGATGATGATGGTATGTTGGTGATGCTGCTGATGCTGATGCTGTTGATGATGATGTTGATGATGCTGATGCTGATGCTGATGACAATGCTGATGCTGTTGCTGATGGTGATGATGATGGTGCCGATGATGATGGTGGTGATGCTGATGCTGATGAAGATGCTGATGATGCTGATGATGCTGATGGTGCTGATGATGATGCTGATACTGATAATGCTGATGCTGTTGATGATGATGCTGATGATGATGAACATGATGCTGCTGCTGATGCTGATGATGCTGCTGATGATGCTGCTGATGATGATGCTGATGATGATGCTGATGGTGATGGTGATGGTGATGATGATGATGACGATGAGGATGATGATGCTTATGTTGATGATCTAGATGTAGACGGTGATTACAATGGTGGTGGTGGTGGTGGTGATGATGGATATGAGGATGAGGAGGACGAGGACTACTGTGACCATGAGGAGGGAGAGCCGTGGCAGGGGGAGGGACGGCTTGCGGGATGATGGTGGTCATGTTGATGGTGGTGGTGATGATGCCGGGGGCTGTGATGCCTGCGCGTTGGCGCCAGGTGATGCTGGCGATACGGGTGATGCACATATTTTTCATGACGATCACGATGTCGATGCTGCCGATGACGATGAGGATTCTGAGGATGATGCCGTTGAGTAGGATGATGCGGATGCTAAGGACGATGCTGATGCTGCTGATGATGATGCTGATGCTGTTGATTGTGGTGATGATGCTGACGACAATGCTGATACTGTTGATGACGGTGGTGGTGGTGGTGATGATGACGATGCTGATGATGCTGATGCTGCTGATTTTGCTGCTGATGATGATGCTGATGGTGGTGGTTGTGATAGTTACGGTGATTTGGATGGTGATCGTGATTCTGAAGATGATTCCATACGATGGATGGGGGGGGAGGAGGAGGTGCAGGGGGAGGATGAGGAACAGGAAGAGTTGGACGACAGCTTCGCACACATCAAGCGGCAGGGAGAAGGAGGAGGTGGAGGAGGAGGGATGATGATGCTGATGCTTATGCTGCTGATGATGATGCTGATGATGCTGCTGATGGTGCTGATGATGATGATGCTGATGCTGATGTTGATGCTGATGATGATGCTGCTGACGAAACCGATGGTGATAACGGTGATGATAATGGTAATGCTGATGATGATGTTGCTGCTGCTCCTGCTGATGATGCTGATGATGCTGATGATGCTGATGCTGCTGATGATTATGATGATGCTGCTGCTGATGATGATGACGATGATACTGACGCTGATGATGATGTTGATGATTACGATGCTGATGCTGCTGACGCTGATGATGGCGATGCTGCTGCTGCTGATGATGATTATGCTGATGACGACGATGGCGATGATGATGACGATGACGATGGCAATGACGATGATTATGATGCTGAGGGTGATGATGATGCTGATGATGCTTATGATGATGGTGATGATGCTGATCATGATGATGATGGTGATGATGGTTGTGGTGGTGATGCTGATGATGCAGATGACGATGCTGATGATGCTGCTGCTGCTGATGATGATGATGATGATGATGAAACGGATCATTCTGAGGTTGATGGTGGTGATGTTGATGCAGCTGATGATGATGTTGATGCTACTGCTGATGATGATGAGGATGGCGATGTTGCTGCTGATGATGATGCTGATGATGCTGCTGCTGCTGATGCTGCTGATGATGAGGGAGATGATGCTGCTGATGCTGATGATGATTATGATGCTGCTGCTGATGATGATGATGATGATGCTGGTGATGGTACTGCTGATGCTGCAGATGCGGATTTTATTGCTGATGATGGCGATTATGACGATGATGCTGTTGCTTCTGCTGATGCTGACGATGATGAGGCTGACGATGAGGATTCTGATGATGATGCTCATGATGATAATTATGATGCTGATGACGGTGATGATGATGCTGATGATGCTCATGCTGATGGTGGTGATGAGTTTGCTGATTATGATGCTGATGGTGCTGCAGATGATGATGCTGATGATGATGCTGATGATGCTGATGGTGCTGATGATGATGACAATTATGCTGATGATGATGATGACGATGCTGCTGATGATGCTGATGTTGATGCTGATGATGCTGCTGATGATGATGATGATGATGATCATGCTGCTGCTGATGATGCTGATGACGAGGAGGATTATGATGCTGATGCTGCTGCTGATGCTGATGATGACTATGATGCTGATGATGCTGATGCTGAGGATGTTTATGATGATGATGTTGGTGATGATGACTATGGTGTTGATGTCGATACTGGTGATGATGATGATGCTGCTGATGATGATGCTGATGATGACGATGTTGCTGATGATGATACTGATGCTGATGATGATGACGATGATGATGATGATGATGATGCTGATGATGATGACGATGGTGATGGTGATGATGATGCTGATGATGCTGATGATGCTGATGATGATGCTGATGATGGTGATGCTGATCATGCTGATGATGCTGCTGATGCTGATGATGATGATGCTGCTGATGATGATGATGATGATGATGATGAAACTGATCCATCTGAGGTTGATAATAATGATGCTGCTTATGATGGTGATGATGATGATGCTGATTCTGATGATGATGATGATGATGATGATGATGATGATGTTGATGCTGATGCTGCTGATGATGATTATGCTGATGATGATGCTGATGATGCTGATTATGATGATGATGATGCTGATGATGAGATGATGCTGATGCTGATGCTGATGCTGATGATGGATGATGATGATGCGTGATGCTGATGCTGATGATGATGATGATGATGATGATGATGATCAAGCTGATGCTGATGATGATGATGCTGATGATGCTGATGATGATGAGAGATGATACTGACGACGACGATGAGAGGATGATGAGGATGATGATGATGATGATGATGATGATGATGCTGCTGATGTAGATATGATTGATGATGATGATGATGATGCTGATGATGATGATGATGCGACGATGATGATGATGATGATGATGATGATGATGATGATGATGATGATGATGGTGATGGTGATGATGATGATGATGATGATGCTGAGTGTGATGATGATGATGTGATGATGATGATGATGATGATGATGATGATGATGATGATGATGTGCTGATGAGATGATTGCTGAGATGATGATGATGATGATGATGATGATGATGATGATGATGATGATGATGATGATGATGAGATGCGTAGGGGATGGGGGGTAGGAGGCTTAGGAGGAGAGGATGAGAGGGGAGAGGAGCAGGAGGAGGAGCAGGAGGAGGTGGATGAGGAGGAGGAGGAGGCGGAGGAGGAGGAGGAGGAGGAGGAAGGGGAGGAGGAGGAGAAGGCGGATGCGGTGGAGGGGGGAGGATGAGGGAAGCGGATGAGGAGGAGGAGGAGGAGGATGCGGAGGGAGGGGGACGAGGAGGAGGATGGGAGAGGAGGAGGAGGAGAGGAGGAGGGAGGAGGAGGAGGAGGAGGAGGAGGAGGCGGAGGAGGACGAGGATGAGGAGGAGGACGAGAAGGCGGAGGCTGAGGCGTATCATGAGCAGGAGGAGGGGGAGGAGGAGGATTAGGATGAGGAGGACGCAAAAGAGGAGGATCAGGAGGAGGAGGAGGAAGAGGAGGACTGAGCGAAGGATGCGGAGGAGGAGAAGGAGGAGGAGGAGGACGAGGAGGAGGAGGGTGGAGGAGGATGAGGAAGCGGATGAGGAGGATGAGGAGGAGGAGGCGCAGGAGGAGCATGATGCTGATGATGATGATGATGATGATGATGATGATCATGATGATGATGCTGATGATGATGATGATGATGATGATGATGATGATGATGATGATGATGGTGATGTTGATGATGATGATGCTGATTATGATGATGATGATGGTGGTGATGATGATGATGATGCTGATGATGCTGATGATGACGATGCTGCTGTTGCTGATGATGCTGATGATGATGCTGATGATGATGATGCTGATGGTGATGATGATGATGATGATGATGATGACGCTGATGACGATGATGATGATGATGCTGCTGATGATGATGATGATGCTGATGATGTTGATGATGACGATGCTGATGATGCTGATGATGCTGATGATGCTGATGCTGATGATGATGATGATGATGATGGTGACGCTGATGATGATGCTGATGATGATGATGATGATGCTGATGATGATGGTGATGTTGATGATGTTGATGATGATGATGATGATGATGATGATG